TTGGCTAGGCAAGTGCTTATTCTACTGAGCTATCTCCCCGGGCCACTGTTTTACTTTTATAAAAGGCACAGCCATATGAAAGCTAACGTCACTTTATAACTCAGACTTCTGGGCCTCAGGTCCAGTGCTAGCACTCTCATCTGTGAAAATTACATGATCTGCTCAAGTCCTTGTCTTGTCCTATTCACAGTGGAAACAAAGAAACTGAATCTATTATGAAGGATTAAGTGATGCAATTCCTAGAGTGTTCACAGTGCTGATATGGGGACCTCAGGTAGACCAATGGTATTGAACATAAAACAGAATGGGGCCCATCAAAATACATGCAACCTGTTTTGGAGAACAGTATGAAGCTATTCAAGAAAGATAAGTGTTAAAAAAAAAAAATTCCTAGACCATTCAGCAAAGTGCCTGAAAATGAATTTTTATTAAATGTGTTGCTATTAATATTCATTTATACTGGAAAAATCCATTCATGGTACTGTAAAAGTTATCATTTTTGCCACCTGAAGTATCTGTGAATTATTAGCTAAAATAATCAGGGGTCGGGGAGATGGCTCAGTAGAATAAGTGCTTGCCTGGCAAGCGCAAGGCCCTGAGTTCAATCCCCTGTTGAACCAAAAAAAAAAAAAAAAACAAAAAAATCAATAAAATTGTTCTCAAGTACTTTGACTCTAAAGGATGTATGCAAGTACAAAGATCCCTTCCCGTTCGGGGCAGTACTCATACTTCTTGTAGCTGCTCAATGGACTAGCTTTGCCTTGTGCCTTGTCTTCTTACCACTTCCAAAGGCTTTCTGCAAATACATCCCTCCTCCTATGTCTCCTGAGAACTGAAACAAGCATTCTTTCCTTTTCCTGGGCTAAACAATCCAGAACCAGGCAATGTAATCTAGCTGTATGTTCTGAGACATAGCTGCTTCTAGGAGATAAGGCTATAAGCCAGCTAAAATAGCTTACTTATGAAGACTAATAATTTGTTCATTAATACTTTAAAGCCTTCATCTCAATGTACCCATCAACCCAACACTATTATGTCATAAATCCTCTTTAGTCTTCCCCTGTTCTCTACCTTACAACACTCATTCCAAGCCCTAAAACTACCATTATCCTTGTCTTACTTCCTTTACAAAACTATTAAGATGCTAAGAGGTGTCTTCCCATAATGCAGTAGATCTAATAAGCTTAACTTACTCTAAATAATAGTTCATTCTATTTGTCTTCTCACAGAGCCGATGACTACAACCCTAGCTTGTAACATTTAATGGTTCTTCACTATCTCCAGACTAGGATCTTGCCAAGTGGTACTACATACATTATCCTTAAGAGAATATATGCTAAGGTGATCCATACTACCTCCATGGGATCATACATCATTTATTTATGTATTTATTTACTTATTTATGTAGTACAGGGTCTACAGGGTCAGTACACAGGTAGCAGTCATAATGATCCTCCTGTTTTCAGCCTCCCAAGTGCTAGGATTACAGGTACATGCCACCACACCCAGTCTCAATTGCTATCTCAGTGCAAGTTGGGGGTGGAGCTGACACGGCACACCAGGGATGGAACCCTGGCGCCTGCATCTGCCTAAGCAGGTGCTTTAATTCACTGAGCTATCCGGACGGCCCTAGGATCACATATCATTTATGTCCCCACACCTGAAGTTATTCTTCCAAAACCTGGTGATACTGGCAGTACCACTTTACAAGTAGCATGCTGCATAGTATGTGGCCACTGTTTAATAGTTTTAGCAATTGTTTTCATTGCTAATCTAATCATCTACTATTTCAGCTACTGTTCCAGATTCTGTAAATAGAAAACCAAGACTTAGCTCCTTCCCTTAAACATTTCAAAATCTTGCCAGCAAATAGCAATAGTAAATTAAGTAGAACAGTACAGACCTGGAAAGATCTCCAGATTTTCATAGAAGGTATTCTAGAACCTAAAATATTATCTTTTCAAAATACTACTTTTTACACTGTGAATAATTTCCTATGTACAAAACAATGCATAAATAGAAGTAAAAATGAATGCCTATGAAGTTACACTCAGCTCAATAACTGACATACTTAGAGCCTAACAACTTGCAATTGTAAGACAAAGGCAATTTAGTATATTAAAAATGTGTGGCACCAGGCTTCCAATGGTGTGAGATATAGACTTCGTTATGACACAAGCTAAGTGTGGGATATCTCTTCACATCTCAAAAATACCACTTCTGTTAAATTAAAGGACTGAACAAAGTGAATAGAAGGGGTCTCTTGGCCAGTGGGCTCTTGGGGTGCTTACTCCCACCTGCTCTCCCTTATGCCCAGCATACTCTGCACGCACTCACCAGCACCTCCTCCCATTTTCTTCTTCCCAGTTTCTTTACTCTTAGCTTTCCAGCATGAAGAAACATCATCTTCCTAAATTTAAAACAAAACCTTGCCTTGACCCGACAGCTCTACTCTCCTTCCTTTGACAGTCCAAATCTGTGAACATACGGGCTACAGTGAAACGTCCACTGCCCCATGACTGTAAGCCCTGTGGTCTTCCTCCTAACTCGATGCTCTGAGTCACTGAGGCCTTCCAGACAAGCGCAATAATTCTGCTTGTATTCAGCTGCCAGGATGTGATCAGCACTTTCTAAAAGCTCGTGTGCCATTTACGACCCTGCTCCATCCTGGCATCTCCTCTGTGAATGCAGTTCCATACTGCAAAGATCAGTTTTGTTTCCTGCTACAGAATTTATCTGTGAAGTATGAGATCATCAAAAGTTTTACCAGATAGAAGAATAAATACTCATTAAAATGATAATGTCACATGAATCCAGACATGACACAATTTAGATATGATTTATGGAGAAAGAATAGAAAATACCACCTTCTTTGTCATCAGTCACATCGATTGCAGTTCATCAGCAAATCAGTCTCCTCATCTAGTCTAGCTAAGTTTCTCTAAAGATTTTGAAATTTTACTTGTGGGAGACTGGAATTTAAACTATTATGAATTCTAATCTAGTAGCTACTAATTCAGGGAGCTTTTTGCAATGCACTTCAAGAAGCTGCATGAACTGTTTGGGGGATAAAAGGGAACATAGGGGTAAATGACCTTACAGCACAAACTCAGGTCTCTCTGGCCTCTCAGCAAGCTTCAGGGCCTCGTGCATGCCTGCAGCTGAGAGCTTCCGGTTGATATTCCGGTACTGGCACTGGAGCAGGCTGCGGTAGGTGGTCCTCAGATCCCGATTGAAGAAGGCATATATAAAAGGGTTAATAAGAGAGTTTGCATAGCCCAGCCACAGACATGTCCTCTCCACCCACAGCGGGATGCAACTGCAGGCAGTGCCACAGATGAAGGGCCTGGCTGTCGAGAGGAGGAAGAACGGCAGCCAGCACACAGTGAAGGCCCCAACAATGATCCCCAAGGTGGTGGCTGCTTTCTGCTCCCTCTTAAAGATGGAGATGTTTTTCCTTTCATGTTTGAGGAGTCTGGAAAGGTTTGCGCACTCTTCCACCTCCTTCTGTAGCTTCACCATGCCGTTCAGAGAGATGATGCTCTCGGGCTGCACGCGAGGGAAGCCAGGGAACTTGTGTTTGGCAGCGCTCTTCCTGGCAGCCTTGTAGATCTGGTAGTACATGAACAGCATGACCGACATGGGGATGTAAAACGCCACTGCGGTGGAGTAGATGGTGTAGCCAAAATCCTGGCTAATCAAGCAAACCTTGTCATCGTTCACATTCTGAGCCCAGCCAAAAAGTGGGGGCAGAGTGATGGAGGCTGAGAGGAGCCAGACGGAGAGGATCATTTTCGCCATGCATTTCCCATTCTGCCGCACAGGGTACGTGAGAGGCCTGGTGATCCCAAGGTACCTGAGGGAGAAATGGAAAGACGACCAGTGATTACCGGGATTTACAACTGCTAGCAGAGGGTACTACCAGCCAGGCACAAGTTCTCACCACAACCCAGTATAGAGGTAGTGATGTCATTTCCACTTCACAGAAAGGTAAACTAAGACTCTGAGATGCAACTTATAGTTTTTTCCAGGTCAGACAGTCAGCCAGCAGCACTGTCAGACTCGGCCTCATGGCCCGATGACCCTGACGTTCTTGTAGGGTCATATGCCTTTTTATATGTTGCAGCTCCTGACAATCCATACAGTCAATCTCAGATTGAACACCAGCCCTCCCCTCATGACCAGAGTCACCAAACTGAGCCAAGGGCAAGACATCCGACCTGATGCAGGATCTGGGACACATCTCCTCTCATTAGCAATTTGTCTACCACACTCCACCGCTGTCTGCTCATGATTTCTGCAGCCATTTCAATTCAGGACAGCTTTTAAGTCATTTTAACTTCCACTTTACAGAGTAGCAAAGGTATTTCCCTGCAATCACAGGCGTTCAGGGGACATTTTGGAAATCCGAAGGTTTTGGAGTGGAAAGTAGAAAATGATTGAGTAATTTTGTTTTTGCTTGTTTTTACCCCCAAAATATTCTAATGCAGCAGCAACATTAGAGGTGCATTCTATAAAATAAGAACAGCTTTATTCATTATTCCAGGTCTGAGGTGGGCCACAAGAGAGGATACAATTATGAAAATTATTATGCAAATCCAACATTTTCTCTATGCTTAGTTCTACATGTAGAATACATACTTCCTCATCTGTATTAGGATTTCTAATGTAACAGAGACTCAGCAAAAAGTGAAAACATATACAATCTGCCAAGTACTTAATACTTTTCAGTTTTTCCATCCTGTTCTCTATACTTATGTCTTCACCTCTTATCTCTGTTTCTTAAGTGCTTTGGGTAGGACGCACAAAGCACTTAAGAAACAGAGATAAAAGCTGGGTTTTTTTTTCTGCCTTTATGTACCTATATGATGCATTCTTGAAACATGGAAGAGGAAAGGTAAGAGTTGGCAAAATGTCAATGGCTTATTTTATGTAAATGGGTCATTTGGTAGAATTGAACATGAAAAAGTTCTACTAGAAATACTCTGATGTTTAAATTATTGTACAAAAGCCCTGTATCATGCCTGCACAATGAAAACTGGCATAGCAGCAACACTTGTGAGAAAAACTGCAGTACACACAGTAAGAAGCTAAGTCAAATCTGCTTACTCATCAAGAATGGCTCTTCATTCCTTAAATAAACACAGGCATGCCTGGGTATGCACTGAGAACTGATTCTAGCACACCACCATGGAAACCAAAATTTGTGGGTGCTCAGTCCCCTTAAACAAAGCAGCAGAGGAGCCAGAAATGTAGCTCAGTAGTAGAGGAATTGTCTAACATGTGTAGCCCTCAGCTTAATCCTCAGCATCACTAATTAATTAATTGGGATAGTGTCTTCACACCTGAACATATCCTTCTTTATACTTTGTGTCATAGTTGATTACTTATAATACTTAATACAATATAAATATTGGGTAATAATTATAATACTTTATAGTTTAAGGAACAATGGCCAGAAAAAAGTTTGAACATGTTCAATACAAATACAGCCGCACCACATAGCACACTATCTGCCACTCCCTGAATCTGTGGGCGCAGAACCCATAGATACAAGGGGTTGACCTTATCAATGGAGCTCTTTCTGCATGTCAAGAACTATTCAAAATGGTAAGGATACAGCAGAAAATAAAAGTTACAAAAATCTTGAAAGCAGATGCAAGGGGAAAGGATGTGGATGAAAGAAAGGTCTAAGACCATAATAGTTTTTTTTTTTTCAGTACCGGGGATTGAACTCAGGACCCTGCACTTGCCAGGCAAGTGCTCATTCTACTGAACTATCTCCCTGGGCACTAAGACCATGATAATGTTAAAGAAGACTTCAGTCCTCTCCAAGCCCTCACGTGTGCAGTTCACTGACCCCACACTTTGCAAGATCTCTGATGAAGCTGCACCACAAACACTACCCTTATGTTTGCCAGCTGAAGTTAGGATTATGCTGGAGTTACCAAGTAGAAAAGAGCAGAAGGAGATTATGCAAGAATGGAAGACTATGAGCTGGGGAAAAGTGAAGGAAAAAAGAAAGGAGTTGGGAAGAAGCCAGGGAGAGGGAAAGAGAAAGAGAGTGAAATTGGATAAGGTTTGACTTGTATGGGATGACCTGCTTCCTAAATTATGGAAGTAAAATTCTGGAGAACTTTAAAGTAAAAAAGAAGCCCTGAAGAAAGATATTGGCACTGTCTATTTGGCTATAATAAAGATAATCTAGGCTGAAGGCTCAGTGTAGACACTGTAATATAGAAGTGTCTCCCTCCTTTGAACTACTTCAGCAACTTCCTCTAGGTATTTGCTGATGGATGGGCATCCCTTGCCCATCTTTCTTTTAGCTCTAGTCCTTGCTCTTTGTCACTTGCTGTGGGTGTTGTCTTTTGGGTACCACCTCTCTTTCACAACAGCCTAAGCAGACTTTCCTGAGAGCTGCAATTTGATTTCTCTTTTGCGTTCATCTAAAGGAATTAATTGCCTGCTCCCAAGCCACCAAAGCAGTGCCAAGGACCTGATGAATTCACCATAGAATTTTACCAAAACTTCAGGGAAAAACAAGTCAAATTCTCTTCACACTGTTTCTTAAAATTGAAAGGGAAGGAACATTGCCAAACTTGTTCCTTAAAACTAGAATTACCACAATACTAAAAATCAGACAAGGACTTAATAGAAAAATAACCAAACAAAATATAAGCCAATTTCCTCAATGAACACAGATGCAAAAGTCAACCACATAAAGCAAAGAGAATATAACAATTCATTAAAAAGATCATGCATTGAAACCAAGTCAGCTTCATCCTATGGATGCAATGGTCGTCAAACATATTTTAACCAATGTATCACACAGAGAGAAGGAAACAGGAAAGTCCTATGATTATTTTAACGCATGCACAAGAAGTCTTTGATGAAATCCATTATGTGATCAACAAATAGAGATATACAATATACAAACCTTACCTCAAACTGATGAAAGCCATTTATGGTAAACCCACTGCCAAGATCATGCTAGGTTTTATTTGACTGTAATATGAGTACATATTAATAAATTATAATAAGCGCTCTTCTTACTTGTGTGAAAAGCTACAATAAAACTTCATAACAAAGTAACTAGAATAGCAATAGTCAAAATATTAAAGGAAATGACCTTAGAGGAATGGCCAAAATGTGACCCAGAGTACAAGTCATAGAGAAAATATGACTTTCTCTTATAAAGAATAAACAAACAACTTAAAGGGAAAAAAACTTCCTTTTCAAAGAACAAAAAGAAACTAATAGTAAATGAAATAAATTAGTATGTATCTTAAAATAGTTTTGAAACAATGGAATAGATAATAGATAATTTAGGGAATTATTTAAATTTCTCTCTACATCTTGTTTATCATATATATTCATTATATATTATACTATTATAATATATAATATATAATCACATTTTAGACATATTTTTCTTTATGCATTCATCTGCTGATTGACATATATTGGTTTTCAAGATCCAGCTATTATAAATTGTGCTACTATAAATACAGGCATGTATGTATTTCTGAAGACTTGAACTCTTTGGGGAAAATACCTAGAAGGGGATAACTGAGTCAAATGGAAATTCTCCTTTTAGATTTTGAGGAATCTCCCCCGAGGTTTCTACAGTAGTTCTACTAGTTTACATTTCCACCAGCTCTAGAGATGGGTTCCTTTTCTCCTCACAAGTTCATCAGTACTTATTGCTTGATTTCTTGACGATATCATTCTTTCTGGGTCAAGATGGTATCCAGCATATTTTTAATTTGTATTTCTCTGAAGGGCAATGATGATGATGAAGGTTTTTTGAAGTGTTTAATGGCCAACTGTACTTCTGATAAATGTCTATATATTTCAGTAGACCATCTTTTGATCATGTCTTTTATTTTATGGGTCAAGTTTTTTGAGTTCTTTATACATACCAGATGTCAATTTTCTATCTAAAAGCAATTTCTTTCCCATTCTGCAGGCTGTTCCTTCACTCTCTCAGTTGTTTGCTTCTCTGTGCAGAAGCTTTGCTTTGCTTTGTTCTGTGTTTTTTATTTGACAATTAAGAAATTTATTTGACTTTAGCATTTTAAATGAATAAATAGGAAAGATGCAATTGTAGGGAAAAAGTTGCTTCCTGGGTCTTTTTTCTCTCCAACACCCTCCCACTTATGTTGCATTATATCCCCAGTGCTTTCCCTGTCCTTCACTTTAAAGAGAAAAGGCAAGGAAAAAAAAATACTAAGACAGTAAGCAAGTAACAGTGGTTAGTATATTGCTTGTTATCTTCAAAGTAGTTGCTCAGATTATAAAATATAGGTATAAAAAATGATATAAGCATTTTTTTTTGGTGGTACCAGGGATCGAACTCAGGACCTTACGCTCGCCAGGCAAGCACTTATTCCACTGTGCTATCTCCCCAGCCCCCACAAACCTTTTTCAATAAAGAAATACAAGCTAGTAGTATAGTGACCTAATATATATATATATATATATATATATATATATATTCATATATGTGAATATATACAAATATATAGAATATATACAAATATCTTATACACACACACTTAATTTTCATTTTCCCTTCCTTTTCTCCTTTCCCCCATCCCAGTTGCTCTTTCCTTTTGAACAGTTTCTTCCCATTCCCCAATATCTATTGTAGATTTTGGATCTTGTCTACTCTTTCAGGTTCTCACACCAGGGAGACAACACCATGTTTATATATGTGAGTCTAATTCATTTCCCTTATGAGTATGGTCTCAGGTTGCATCCATTTACCTATAAAAGTCTCAAGTCTATCCTTTTTTATAGTTAAGTAGTACTCCATTGTATAAAAATACCACATCTTGTATACTCATTTCTCAG